AGCGTAACCAATGGACACAGACCCCAGGGGGCAGGAGGGCATGTGCTGGGGGTGGGGGTGGCCGGGGAGAGGTCAATGGGGGCAAAAGGAGACATGTAATACTATATGTAATACTTTAAACAATAAAGAATTTTTTTAAAAAAAGAAAATTGTTGGACTAGAGAGTAACCCAGAGGCTGGATCTGTGGCTTATTACTTGGTTACCCATGGGAATCTTCTGATTTAGTTGTCTGGGATGGGGCCAGTGAATCTGGTAAGCATCTTGGGTCAAGATCCACTGGTTTAATGATGACAGCCCTTGAAAGCCCAATTAATCATATGTACTTCAGGCAATAATCAATAGATAAACAAAGGAGGTTATGAGGATTATAGTGAAATATGATCTTTGTGTGAGAGATCATCTGGAAACATTGTGGGCAACAGGACTTGGAAGCAGAGAAACTAATGGAAATTCCTATCTTATTGGGCCTAATTCAAATAGGGCCTACTTCACTAAGCTTCCATTTGTAATCCATTTATTCCTCCACATAACCTCCTGAAATGTTTATTTCTCTGCTGCACCACTTATCAAACTCAAGCTCATGTTTTAATTACTTGTCCATTTGTCTTCTATTCCCTAGACCTGTGGTCGGCAAACTGTGGCTCGCGAGCCACACGCGGCTATTTGGTCCCTTGAGTGTGGCTCTTCCACAAAATACCACATGCAGGTGCACGTACAGTGCAATTGAAACTCCGTGACCCATGCGCAGAAGTTGTTTGCTGGCCTGGGCGAGTCTGTTTTGAAGAAGTACTGTTGATATTTGGCTCCGTTGACTAATGAGTTTGCCGACCACTGCCCTAGACTGTAAAAATGTTGGTGGCAGGACTAGAGCATTTTCTTCACTGTTTCCTAGGACAGTATCTAACCCAGAGTTCCAATTATATGATTCAGGAATTAAACCCGAAACATTTCTGTGTATGGGATGACATTCCAACCAATTGAACCACACTGGCCAGGGCTTGTCTACTCCCCTTATTATTCATACAAGCTTCCCACATACAGTCTCTTATTACATTACTACAGGCCTGGTGCATGAAATTCATGCATGGGGGGGTGGGGGGGAGGCGGTTGTCCCTCAGCCTGGCCTTCACCCTCTCCAATCTGGGACCCCTTGGGAGATGTTCAACTGCCGGTTTAGAGATTGGGCTTAAACGGGGAGTCAGAGATCCCTCTCACAATCTGGGACTGCTGCCTCCTAACCGCTCGCCTGCCTGCCTGCCTGATCCCCCCCTAACCGCTCCCCTGCTGGCCTGGTCTCCCCTAATTGCCCTCCCCTGCCAGCCTGGTTGCCCCTAACTGCCCAACCCACCAGCCTGGTTGCCCCCAACTGCCCTCCCTGCTGGCCTTGTCACCCCACGCAGCCTGCTGTTTGGTCATTACTGTTACTGTGACGGCATCCCAGACAATTTGCATATTCCTCTATTATTAGTATAGATACAAGTTTTCAGAGTCATCATCAGCATTTGCTTAATTGAAAAAAATATCATATTTGTCTTCAGAACTATTAAATTGATATTATTATTGGCTGGGATTCAATGATACAGCAGGCTGTATGTAGAGTTGGAGATAAAATTTGTTTACTCCAAAAATATAACATTTACTAAGTGATAGGATGACTAATAAGAATAAAGGCACATATAGTTTCAAATTTGGGTACATCCTGGGATACAATTCCAGATTGACATCTTGCTATTGCAGGTATAAAGAAGGCTAAGTCTGTGCCTATTTTTCTGGAGAGCCAGCCACTAGTCCGCTGTGGCTCCTTGTACATGCCAGATTGGCTCAGGAATGCTCAACATCAACCCCAAGGTTCAATAGGGCTTTAACTACACTTTACTATGCATTATATTTATTACTTATATTTATATAATTCATTATTTTGTTTGCTTATGACTAGGGAACTACAGATAATAATGTTAGATTCTCCCTATGTCAGTTAAATATTAGCCTAATCTCCCTTCTGTTCAAATCAACTTGAAGAAGGATCAAATGTACCAAGCTGTTTTTCCATCTGGAGACTAATCTTATATAATAAAACCTTCATATGCAAATCTACCAAACGGTGGAATGACTGGTTGCTATGAGGTGCACTGACCTCCATGCAAAGGCTCACAGTGGGCTCGCGGCTGGCAGGCACAGAGGTGGGAGCACTGCTCAGACAAAAGCCAGACTCAACAGCTGGATAGCGCAGCAGCAGTGGCAGGAGCTTCTCCCACCTCCGCTGCAGGTGGGCAGTAAGGAGCAACGGGTTCTGGACTGCGAGAGCTCCAGACTTTGAGAGAGATGTATGACTGCTGGCTTAGGCCCGATCCCCGAGCAGACATGCCCCAAGGGGTCTTGGATTGTGAGAGGGCATAGGCCGGGCTAAGGGAACCTTCCCCCGCCCCCCTCAGCACAACTGGGCCTCTAGTTACAGAATAAGATTTCAGATTCCACCATTTGAAATTTTAGCAGGAAAGATTTCTCACCAGTAAAATACAAATTGTATTGTGCAATTTCTCATATAGAGCTATTGTCATCATTGGAGTGGGCTTGCTGTGGAAAGTAGTTGCAGGACACAGAAGTGAGTCTGTAAGTTCACTGGTTGCTACTCTTATCCACAAGGTAATTGCTATACCATGGCAGGTCTGCAGCATTGCAGAAGCAGTTGCTGTGGCTCAGGATATGCCTCACAGTCTCAGGGCATTACTTGTTCCAAACCACTCCATACTCAGTTCGTTCCACTTCTGACTTTCTTAGCTTCACATTATCTTGATTCAGTCTTTTCATGGTATCAATCTGATTTGGTAATCAGACCTTGCAGTGTTTATATTAATATGTACCAGAAAACCACATAGGATGCTGATCCATGAAACTGGCCTTCACTGTCATACTCTAAAAACATGAACACAAGATAGCCAAGAGCTAGGAGTGGACCCAAGGACATCACTGGATGAACCTTTGACCAATGTCTCTTCCACTGAAGACAGCCCAATTTTCAAATATGAATTCTCTGTGAAAGCTTAAAACTTGATATTAGTTAGTAACCCATGTGTAAGATCACTGTCAAATCAATCTGTTTGTAAGGAACAAACTACTCTAATGTAGAAGCAATGATCAGAAGTTGTATTGCCTCCATTTCTTAGTACAACCTGAAAGAACCTGCTTTGTAACCCCAAGGAATAGGAATATGAGGCCTACCACGGGCTGGCTTGAGTATTGTCATTTCCTATTCAGTTGGGTTTATCTCTTCAGACGTTCTACCTTATGCATGGTAATTACTCAATAATATTTGTTGCTAAATGAATGAATTAGAAATTTTTCACACTTGTCTCTAGAGCAGCGGTTCTCAACCTGTGGATCACGACCCCTTTGGCAGTCGAACGACCCTTTCACAAGGGTTGCCTAAAACCATCCTGCATATCAGATATTTACATTACGATTCATAACAGTAGCAAATTACACTTATGAAGTAGCAACGAAAATAATTTTATGGGGTCACAACATGAGGAACTGTATTTAAAGGGCCAGAAGGTTGAGAACCACTGCTCTAGAGGTTTTAGTGACCCTGTCTTTTCCAAAATCCATATCATCAATAGTAACATCAAGAAATTTTAGGAGTCCCCTATGTGGGAGAACATATTTGGCAATAATACATCCGGTAAATGATTAATATCCCAAATACATAAGGAACTCATACAACTTAACAAAAGGAAGACAATCCAATTTAAAAAATGGGCAAAGGACCTAAATAGACACTTCTACAAAGGGGGACATACAGATGGCCGAGAGACATATGAAGAAATGCTCAAAGTCACTGATCATCAGAGAGATGCAAATTAAAATAGCAATGAAGTATCACCTCATACCTGTCAGAATGGCTAGTATCAACAAACGACAAGTCCTGGCTAAGATGTGAAGAAAAGGGAACCCTATACACTGGTGGTGGGAATGCAGACTGGTGCAACCATTATGGAAAATAGTAAGGAGTTTCCTTGAAAAACTAAATATGGAACTGCCATTTGACCCAGTGATCCCACTTCTAGGAATATATCCTAAGAAACCAGAAACACTAATTAGAAAGAATGTATGCACCCCTATGTTCATAGCAGCACAATTTACAACAGCTAAGATCTAGAAACAGCCCAAGAGTCCATCAGTAGGTGAGTGGATAAAAAAGCTGTGGTACATTTACACCATGGAATACTATGTAGCAGTAAGAAAGAAGGATCTAGTATCCTTTGATACAGCATGGAGAAAGACAAGTATCACATGATGTCACTCTTATTTGGAATCTAATGAATAAAATAAACAAAATAGATCCAGAGACACAGAAGCATGGAACAGACTGATGAATGTCAGAGGGAAGGCAGGGGTGGGTGGGTAGGTGGAGGGAAGAGATCAACCAAAGAACTTATATGCATATATGCATAGCCCAGGGACACAGACAATAAGGTGGTAAAGGCCTGGGATGGGGGTGGGGTGGGCTATAAGGAGTCAATGGGAGAAAAAAAGGTGACATATGTAATACTTTCAACAGTAAAGATTTAAAATAATAGCTAGCTAATTACAAAAAAATAAAAATAAAAATCAATGGAAAAAATATCCTCCAGTGAGAGTTAAATAAATAAATAAAATTACCTCTAATATCCCAGTCTTTTGTACTGACTGTAGAGATTAAAGGCTTAAGCGTTTCCATGTCTATTATTTAACAAATATACCCTCCAAAAAAAATTTCCCCATCAATAATACCATCAATAATTATCTTTCAAAATGAAAAGATAATTGGAAATACTTTATAAGACTCACAGGGATTGATACAGGAATTAAAACTTCAGACAGGAAAACCAAGGTTAGTAACTCTGTTCTCACAAATGAACCATTATTATTACTGATCCATAACCTGTCTGAAAATAGTAAATTCTAGGGGACAATGTAATGACTCTGTCACTTGGATTTTTCATGACACAAAGCTCAAATAGCACCAAATATAAACCACTGTTCTCTTTATTTTTTCATAAAAAGCTGGATTTACTATTTCTGACAACTGCACAGTGACTTTTAGTTTGTTCATGTTCCTGGCATCACAAATCTGAAATACAATTTCATTCCTCAAGAACATATACTCTGAAAAGTGATTAGGTTTGTTTTTTTTTTTTGTTTGTTTTGTTTTTTAATATATTTTATTGATTTCTTACAGAGAGGAAGGGAGAGAGATAGAGAGTTAGAAACATCGATGAGAGAGAAACATCGATCAGCTGCCTCCTGCACATCTCCTACTGGGGATGTGCCCGCAACCCAGGTACATGCCCTTGACCGGAATCGAACCCGGGACCCCCCAGTCCGCAGGCCGACGCTCTATCCACTGAGCCAAACCGGTTTCGGCTAGGTTTGTTTTTTTAATCAATCATCCTACATATAGGGCATCTTAAAAATCTTTGCTAAGCAACATATAGCTTTATATTTTTTAATCTCTGCATAAAAATGAAAAAAAAAACAAATCAAGGCATACAAATTTCATTTTTTCCTATATTTGAAACACTATCTTTTATTTCCTTTAACAGATTTTCATATCCATTGCAAAATATTTTGAAGCTCAACTGCCCATTTAAGGCAGAACGAAGGAATTCTAGAGTATCTGAACTAGGCACCGTCTTCCCTGAACTGAACCAACAATTCTATCAGGGTCCTCCTGGGCTTCCCGGCCATGCCTTCCCGCAGATATGAAATCTCATCCCTGTTAGTCATCACACCTGCTGTATCTAAATGCCCCCCTTCGGATGAGTCACAAATGCTTTCCGGAACGCTGCGCCTGGGCATGCTGCGGCAGATCTATACTTTCCGATGTATGAAGTCAGCAGGCTGGCAATCTACAACCTGTCTTGCATAATGTTCAGTACCACAGTTCTCTTTAAAGTTAGGAATCTGTGTTTCTTGGCAAACATCAAGATCAAAGGTCAAATGAAAGATTCTTAGCCTGAGGTCTAGACACCTTCTCTAAGCCACATGTGAGTCCATCTCAAAGATAGATGAAATTTATAAACAAGTACATGGGGCCTCTAAGATTACTGCACGTTGGAAGGTTCTATTTCTAATGACATATGTGGGATGGATCTGTATAGTTCAGTGTAGTGGGACATAGTTAAATGAGAATCAGAGAGCTCCCCTCTCAAAAAAAATTCATTTTTCCCTTTCTTCCATTCTTTTTCTCTTCATATACTTTCAGTTTTCTAATTCCTTATCTGTTTTTAAAGCCTCACTCACAGATATGTTTTACTAATTTTAAAGAGAGGGATAGGAAGAGAGAAACAGCCACCGGTTGCCTCCGGTGTGCGCCCCTGCGAGGACGCTCCAACCAACCGAGCCACACAGGCCACCACTCCACTTCCTTAGTTTTTTTACACCAAAGTAATCATCAGTAGTTGCTTGCTGAAATTTATTCCCCGCAGTACATGGTAGTAATTGGGAGAAAAATTACATCCATTAAGATAGTCTAGCACAATTTCTGGCAAATACTTAATACATGTGCCTTTTGCTTTTCCTCTTTTCTCAGCTCCAGTGTGTACAATGCAGCCATAACTATTTATCAGATATTTGAGCTTTATCTATCTTTGAACCAAAGAACTACTGTGCTGCATGAAGAGTTACATGCATACTATGTAATTTTATATTGTTTAAGCAATTTTTAAAAATGTATTGATTGTTGACAGAAAAAGAGAGATTTGCTGTCCCACATGTTTATGCATTCATTGGTTGACTGGTGTATTGTGCCCTGATCAAACCCACAACCTTAGAGTATCAAGACAATGTTCTAACCAACTGAGCTACCTGGCCAGGTCTATAATTTTATGTTCTGTTCAAAGAGTTGATAGAATATAGATATCATTCATATAAATTTTAAAAATATACAGCAATTTATTATGTTTTACATGATATAAAATACCTCTAATGGGAAAAAATAGTTTATTCTCTAAAACTGTCAATGAAACATAAGATACATTCTTAGTGTGAATCACAGGTTTAGGAGTGATAGAACTACTTTCTCCAAAGACACAATATTAACGATGTCCCTCTGTTGTTACTCTTTCATTGAAATCTATTTTAGTTTTCATAGTTCCCTTTATCCTTCAATAAACAGTCACACTCTGGCAACTTATTCAGGTAATTAAAGTTGGAATCATTCATTCTTTCCATCATTAAGTTCTACTTTTTCTAATCTGGAGCTTGTGTGACCAGCACAGTCAAATTTAAAGAATGTACCCACTCCCAGTTTCCACACCCATCCCAGCACCATCTGGTAGCTCATCCTCGTGGAATCCAATAAGTAACTGATAAGATTCATGTGCTGCTGTCTGAAAATGTGTCCACTTGTTCTCTAATTCAGTAAAACTACTGGTTCAAATGTGAAGCCAGTGAAAGAAAGGTGAAGCCGAAGCTGGTGCCCCTGAGGAGTTGTTTTGGAATAAAGCTGTACGGCCTCCCACTCAATTCAAATTAATAGGCCACTCACTGTCTCTTCTGCTTGCATTAGGAAGAAACAAAAACAAAATAGTATCTGCTATGATCAATAGTACTTAGTCTCATGAACATTTGTTTAGGTTTACTTCCTTGCCTTCCAAGAAAACTAGATATTTAGACACTAGTTCATGATGACACAATTAAAATTTACCTGGAAAAAGATGTTATCAGCAGACGAAAGATGACTTAAGGGCTCTTTTTGTTTTCCAAAACTGATGGACATGTGTGAGCTCTAATATCATTGTGTTTAGAGACGGCTTCATCCAGATCCAGCTGTACACCATTCACATTCACTTCCATGCAGCCATTAAAAAAGGCAGTCACTGGCGTTGCACTGAAGGGAACAACTGTAAAAGAGAATATCAAAAAAATTAGTCCAAGACTTTTAGCATCTTATTTGCTTACACTTAAGAGGACTCACTCAAACATCCCATTTCCAACCAAATTCTACCCCTAAGGGAAAAGTTAATAATGTAATTCTATTTAATAAATTTATATAAGAGAGTCTGTGTGTATAAGGCACTGTGCATAGCACTGAACTCAGCATACATGAGTTCCTTTCATTTCATAAACACAATCAGTTCCACCCAAACCTAAGATAAACACACGGGAGAAATGAGCACATTCTTACTTATAATGTGGAACTTCATTATTGTCTCTTTAAATCTGAGCAACAGTTTAAGTACTGTTAAATCACTTTTTCAACTCTAAATTATAGTTACTTAGAAATCTTTTTTAAATGCCATGACAAATATGTTTCTTTTATTATTACTGGAATTAAAGCAAATTTCTTTATTTTCCAAAGAAATAGTTTCTTGCTGAGCACACATTGGCAGATCATGATAGGGAATTCACTTTTATGTAATGTTTGGTTCTAAAAAAAAACAATTTTAATGATGCTTCAGTGAATAGTTTATGGCCTCTGGGGCTTACTACACTTTCACTCTCTTTATCAAATTTAATACGTAGGTAACATCCTTGGATTCCTAAGAACTACGGTTCACCGTAAAAACATCTATCTATTGTTTTCTCTCTCTTTTTTTTTTTTGGCATCTCCACTCCATGAATCTTAATTCCCAATAGATATTCTCATTCCTTACTCTTCTTCCTCAGTACCTTAAGCAAATATATATATACACACACATGCAAATATATATATACACATACACATACATAACACATGGATATGTATATATATATATACATATATACTTTAAATTTTCTACTCTAACTTGACAATACACTTTTCTGTGGGCTTATATTTATTAAGAAACCCTTTTAATTGTGGTTGAGCACTATGGATTATGCCACTATTATAAAAATACCTCAGAATGATCAATTTTCCCTGATTTTTAATTCATAACATGCAATTTAATATGCCTATTTTGCATAACAATTATAATTTACCCATCCCACAGTTTACATACACTCTTAATATCTCAGTTTTCAGTTCCCCTTAATTTTTCCTCTTTTTTCTAAACCCATCTCGCCTGAAGTCAGTCTTCAGTGCTGTTGCCAAAGTCCTGGAGCCACTGAAATTTTCATAATTTCACTTCTTTTGAAAACTGCATGCAAATAATTTGTGAACGAGGTAGTAGTGGGTTTCAATGTAGAATTTACTCATTTGAACTCTAATTATAATTCCTAATAATTAACCATGCTAACTTAACTAACTTCCTAATAATCAACCAATTTCACATAGCTATCTTTATCTGTCTATCTATAACTGTTAGAGCCTATTTATTTCTATTCCTCCAAAACCCAGATATAAATTCCATATATGGGAAATGAAGATCCTGGTCAGTTAAAGTAATGGAATGAAGGTTATTAAAGTCCAGACATCAAACTCAGGATTCTCCCCATAAGAGTAACCTGCAAAGGTATTTGAAAATTATTTTAAAGAACTTTCTGCCTCAATTGTTTTTTTGCCATTTAAAGTAAAATATTTATGCCAATTTTCATATTTTCTAATATTAAGTTAAAGATGAACCTGCTTTGCCTCCAGTTTTTCCCATCTTGGTGTGAAATCCCCACCCATGCTACTGTTCATGCCGGATGCCTAGGAGATCCTACCCCAGTAATCATTAAATCCTATCATTTTCCTTTCTCTTATACATCTCCAACTTAATCACTGTATAACATCTCCACTGCCATCACCGTGGTTCAACAGCATCCTCATCTGTAAAATGGGGTAACAGGAGTACCTACTTGACAAAACTATCTTGAAGATTCAGTGAGTGGATACATGTGAAGCACTATGAACAGGCAGTACGGTTGTTGCTGCTGTTATTCATACTGTGCCTTTACCTGGACTACTTCCGGAGCCCCCAACTCATCTTGTCCATTTTTCCCTCCCATCTGTCCATCTCCATTCATTATACAGGGAGCTATATTGATGGTATACAACTTGCTTGTCTAAAACTTTGTAATGATTTTCATAGCTTTTAAAATTAGACCCAGGACCCTGTCCCAGGAGTACAAGCCTCCTAATGCCCCGCTGCCCCCACCCAGTTCAGAGCCTCATCCTGCACCGCCATCCCCTGCTCAGTGTGCTTTCACCATACTGATCTCTATACTCCTCACGCATGTCAACCCTCCCCATTTCTCCAGCACATAGACCATTTTATTTGCATATGAATGCTAATCCCCACCCCCACCACCTGTTTAAATTCTTTTAATCCTTCAAATACCAGATTTATATCTTGAGTGGGGAGAGGTAGAAGAGGCGAAAGGGGAAATAAATGGTAATGGAAGGGGACTGAAGTTAGGACAATTTTATCTTTTAAAATTTTTCTAATTACTTGCTTAGAGTCTGCCTCTGCCACTAGATTGTAAAACCCTTAATAGCAGGAATCATATCTGTTTATTATTGTATTCCTAGTGCCAGGATGTAGATTCTTAAGAAATACTGGGTGAAGAATGGATGAATTGAAGAATAAATATTGAATTCACAAGACTATTATGAGGATGAAATGAAATAATAAATTCTTTCTGGTTAGGATAGCCAAATGAGGCAAAATATGGTTAGTTTCAGTTCACATTTAAAAAAATAAACAAAAACGTACAATAAAATGTCAATTCAAACCATGAGGAAAGGAATAATGGATACAGGAATTCTGTTTTCGCCTCCGGTGTCCTTTTACTAAAATTACTTATTAAAAATACTATTGTTAGGTTTGATCAAATAATTGAATCACTACCCGTCCCCTGGGAACTGACCTTTAGGCCACTTCAGAATGCACATTCCCTTCCCCTTAGACCACATTCCACTTGCTAAGGCCATTATCTCTCCCCTCTGGACTTTCCCAGGATCTGGACCTGCACAGAGAATACTCTGCCCAGGAAAAAAACCCGCCTAGAGTCCTTTAAAATCTCTGACTCCATGTATTTGGGTGCTGGCATCATTTGGGGGCTCAGCCCATCTGTTATCCAGACGACCTAAAAAATTCATAATCCCTCACCACTTTGGCCTCATGCGTTCCTCCTTTGGTGACTCTAACAACTATCACTGTGATTAAAAATACACTTTTTAAAACTGAAGAAAAAGCAGATACCTGGAAGGCCACCCAGGTAAGTGGCTACTTTTCCTTTCATTGCTTTGTCCAAGATGCCAAATTCTTTTTGAAGATCTTCAGAGTGGATGATGTCATATTTAAGGGGAGTCACCAGCTCCAGATTTGTTCTGTTGATTCTGAATTCCAGATGAGATTGTTGACTGGAACACAGACTTAAGGCCTCTATCCGGTATATTACCGTATTTTCAACAGATACCAGGATATCCTAAAGAACAGGCAGACTCAGTATAAGCAAGTGCTGAAGGTAATACTACTTAAGAGTTATTTAGGGTTTTTGAAACTCAAAAACAGAATTTCAATGAGAAAAAATGTATGATGGAGCCTCCAAATTTAAATGAAAACATTACTAATTATTATCTCTATATATAAAAGGCTAATATGCAAAGTGTCCCCTCGGGAGTTTGACTGGGAGACTAGGAGTTCGATCGCTGACCATCGGGGGTGGTACGGAATGAAGGAAGACCCTGCTGGCAGCTGGGAAAGGAAGGCCCCAATCAGCCCTGATCGCTGGCCAGGCCTAGGGACCCTACCCATGCAAGAATTTCGTGCAACGGGCCTCTAGTAATAATCATAATTTTAGAATATACGTTAGTTTTATAAACTTCAGGTTTAGCTAAGATGTAAATGTATGGTGACTTCTGAAAATTCAATAAACCATCAGAGTTATGATACCAACAACAAGTACCTAAAGTAGTGTCTTAAGCAATGTTTTTCTATTTATGAACCTTCTTCACTTCAAGCTTGCATATATATATCCTGAATCACTATTTGTTAGGAAAAAAGACTTGGAAAATTTAAAGTGCTTTAGTAGACTGAAGAGATTTTTGTATCACCTAAGCAATCTTATAGACTTGGGAAAAAGTAATTTAGTAAACCAGGAGAGAGAAACAACAGGGATCACCAGCAGTAAATTACAGAGTATTTAACAGATGATTCTCAAAAGAAAAAAATGTATTTATTTTGCTGAACTTTTCAAACTACTGATACACAAAAGTACTCAACTTGTTGAGTGTGATTGATGCATATAGCTTATTTGGGTACAGAGGAAATGTTAATGTGAAGAGAGAAAATAAAATCAAAACTAGGGAGATGCAGTGCTAGATGCATGCTTCCCAGATGGCAGAGAGAGTCTGAAGTGCCTACTCAGGAATCCAAGATGTTTATGTTAAGTCTATACATCTCAAATACAGATTACTCAAGAAGATCTGTTACTGTGTTACATGATCCAGATGCTTGAACCCGTTTAGACTTAAAGATGGTCAGCTGAAAAGCTATTCCAGAATGATCAGTAGTGTGTGGAATAATATTATAAAACAAAGTACACAGATCCTGAGAAAGCAATCTGACATGCCAAAACAGGGAGCCATGGAGACAAATGGCAAAGAGATGACATGAATATCAAAGGCATGGCCAGCAGGAGCATGAACGTAATGTTAAAGATAGAAATTCCATTTTGTAGGCTTAAAAAACCAAAACAAAAAACAAGCAAACAAAAAGCTGCGATCCCAGTATGGTAAGCTCCTGTGGTGGTAGATTAGAGATAAAAACTCAGCAGGATCTTTCCAGGTTGCTTAGAGTTAACTACCAGAAACTCCTCCAGGTCATCTTTTAAGTTGCAAACAACACCTTTTTATTACTACAGACATTATTCAATTACATATCTCTTTCTAAAAGCTCCAGAGAGCATCCACGCCAGCCTTGGCACAAATGTAAGCTTCTTGCTGTAGCTTGTTGGAATCCACAGTGGGTAACATGAGAACAGAGCTATCAGCCTCTAACAGAAAGTGGAATAATACAGATCTTCTGATAAGTCTCATGTTTCCTTTGAAGCAAGCGTTTTTCCTGTTCTGCCTCCTAATTTTAAACCAGAGTTGCCAACAAGAAGCCACGTGAACTGCTTTTAGTTTTCTCTAGTCTTTCCTAATTTACTCGTGGGAGAAAAGATGACGTGTGCCAGAAAACACAAGCATTATAATTAGGCACTGAATAGCTGAGAGCAGATTATAGTCAGGCTCACTTCTATTGTGCCAGTACAGACTAATTCCCATGATTCCTCCAAAATTCTGAATAAGGGTGGATCCCTATGTACTCTGGAAAGGCTCCAAGCAGCCTGTGTGTGAGTCTGCTTAATCTTAGCTCCAGATGCAATAAAGCTTTTCAATTTCTCACCCTTACTTCTGGGTTCAGACCTCAGAAATAAGCCAGCAAAAAAGTAACAATAATGGATATCTATTGAGTCCTTAATGATGTCCTAGAGATTGTATCAAATACTTCACAACAGTTATCTCATTTAATCATGAGAATAGCATTTTGAGGTAAAGACTGCTATTAAATTCATTTTACAGATTTAAATAAAAAGCAAGGATCATAGCCCGGCCGGCATGGCTCAGTGGTTGAACGTTGACCTATGAACCAGGAGGACATGGTTTGATTCCTGGTCAGGGCACATGCCCAGGATGCAGGCTCATTCCCCAGTGTGGGGCATGCAGGAGGCAACAGATCAATGATTCTCTCAATTTTTGATGTTTCTATCTCTCTCTCCCTCTCCCTTCCTCTTTGAAATCAATAAAAATATATTTAAAAAAGAAAAACAAAAAACACGGATCAGAAAGGGCTAGAACAAAGTTACCTGAAGCTTCTCAGAGGAGGAGTCCACCAAGGACAAGGCAAAAGGTACCCTGTCACCCGAAACCAAGGCGAACATAACGCCAGTGCCCGTGGATGGACGAATATTCAAAACCACATTTACATGCCAAGCATCGGGGTTTGATATATTATCTGTTTAAACAAACAAACAAAAATTAGGATCAAAGTACAGCAGAAGGAATTATTATAATCTCATTACTATTCAAAGCCATTTTTGTGTAATACCAGAGATTTTAGTTCTTCCTGCTCAATGACCTATATAACCTAGGCAAAACAAAACACAGAGAAACATTAATGCAGGCAAGAAACACATAAACAAAACCCCATCTTTCTGTTCTTCCCAGAGTGGAATTCTGGACGGTGGCATTTAGGATTATTACGAATTTTCCCTGTTTGCTCTTTAACAGCTCTTCCTTCTGCTTTGCATACTCACCAATGCTCAAATCTCAGAGTGGTCATATTTTAAAGTACACATTTAGAAGGAAATTCAACAACTTTATTGTAATATATCTGAGGAAAAATTTGGGTATAGCTGTCATTACAACATCACTACTTCCCAGCCATAAAGAGGTGAGGTTAGAGCAATAGAAAGGAAAAATATGATTTCTATGCATAGGGGAGTTGAGTAGTTTGACAATAGAGAGATACTCTTAAGTCAACAGCTAACTTTGACATTTGATAGAGACTCTTCTGTTATTCTCTTGCATAATACCTAACATTCTTTTTCTTAATTACTAGGTTAATTGCCTACCACACTACGATGCAAGCTCTCTACATGTCTCTACCATCATTGTGTTTTCCACAGAAGTCACTCAACACATATTTGTTGAATTAATGTTTCCAAAATTGTTTGATTCCTAAAAATATTAGTTCACAATCTGAATGCAGTCTTCCTCATTTAATAAAGTAAAATATAACAATAACTCAAATACCACTTAGGGGCTTTGAAAGGATGAATGTCAATGGAGAAAATAATTTTCCTTTGACAACATGTTCTTCCATTTAGCCACATCTAATGCTATTATATTTTTTCATTATAATAGTCTAATTCCCTTCAAGAGAAAATATTTTTTATGTTATCATTGTGAATTAAGTAAATTTAAGGCAATAACAACATCAAACTAAAATGAACGTGCAAATGCTCAGAAACTACAATGTAAAATTAAATATTAATTTAAAAGTAGATCTCTTTCAAATTACCCATAAAAAAACTAATTACTTATTAAAGTTCTTTTTTCAGATACAATATAATTCTTATTTTCCTCTTTTTCTGAATTTTTTCCTCAATTCAACAAATTGTTGTAGGCCAATTACTTTCCTGTATTCAGGCACCAATCCACTTTAAATATTTTTTAAAAATCCTTTAGCCCTAGCTGGTTTGGCTCAGCGGATAGAGCCCAAACTGAAAGGTCGCCAGTTTGATTCGGTCAAGAACACATACCTTAGTTGCAGGCTCAAACCCTGGCCTGGTCCAGGCATGTGCAGGAGGCAGCCAATCAATGTGTCTCTCTCCCATCAATGTTTCTTTCTCTCTGTCTCTCCCTCTCCCGTCTAATCTCTCTAAAAATCAGTGCAAAAATATCGTCGGGTGAGGATTAACAACAACAACAAAAAGCCTTTATTTACAGAACAAAAATAAAAGTTTAAAGCACTGTATTAATTTATGTTAAAAAAAAAAGAAACAGAAAGTATTGGTATAAGGCTCTTCCGTAAAACTGTAGTAAGTCTTTTTTCAGATTGCAAATAAACACAATTAAAATATAATGTTTTCTTAAAGCAGAGATATCAGATTAACACTAACTTTATAATGTAAACTCTTAGTAGCTCAAATATGGAACTCATAAAACAGAAAAAGACAAAGAACCCAATAAAATAATTAAGCTATACCATATGGAGAGATACTCAACTTTAGTAAAAATTGGGATAATACTATTTAAAACTATGTATAAAATTTAATTTATGAATTCTCCAATTGAAAAGAAATCTCAAGCATAAACCTGTTTTTTCTGTTGGTAGAAGTAGAAATTGACAAAAATCTTTGGAAGAGAATCCGATCGAACAGTAAGAAGTACATTTGCATAACCTCTGAGAGAAATAATCTAAGAATATCCTAAAGACTTAATTACATAAAGATACAAGGATGTATGCCCAAGGATACTCATGGAAGAATTATTTGCAAAGGTAAAAGCTTGGGATCAGTCTGGCAAGTCTGCAGAAAACTGGAAAGAGCACTGTCCCTGCCCTTACAACATCAAGAGCCCAATTATCTACATAATCACAACTTGTCTTGGCAGAGCAACTAATTAGGAACCTAAAGAAAGACAGGTGCTTCCAAGGAGGGACAGGATGAGAGTACTCCCTTGCCCAAGGCAAACACTACATGCTATTCAATTTGGTAAGAAGAATTTAGCTTAAAAAAATGTTTTTATCTTTATTGTTGAAACTATTACAAATGTTGCCCTTTTTTCTCCCATTGCCCCCCATCCACTTGGTTCGCGCTGGGTCACAGGCCTTTCCTACCCTACTGTTTGTGTTCAGAGGTACTGAATATATGCATATGTTTTTTGGTTAATCTCTTCCCGCCCTCCAATCACTCTACCCTCTGAGATTTGTCAGTTTATTCCATGTTTCCATGCCTCTAGTTCTACTTTATTCATCAATTTATTTTGTTCACTAGATTCCCTGTTCATTTATTATTTTTAGATTTAATTGTTGATAGATATGTATTTATTCATTTTTTGTCTTTTCTTCTCCTTCTTCTTCTGAAAGATTAGCAGTCAACATTTCATGTAATACTGGTTTAGTGGTGATGAACTCCATTAGCTTTTTTTTTTTGTCTGTGAAACTCTATCACCTTCAATTCTAAATGATAGCTTTCCTGAGGAGGGTGATCTTGGCTATAGATCCTTGCTATTCATCACTTTGAATATTTCTTGCCACTCCCTTTTGGGCTGCAAAGTTTCTGTTGAGAAATTGGCTGACAGTTTTATGAGCACTCCCTTATAGGTAACTAATTGCTTTTCTCTTGCTGCTTTTAAGATTTTCTCTTTGTCTTTATCCTTTGGCATTTTAAATATGATGTGTCTTGATGTGGGCCTCTTTGGGTTTCTCTTGTATGGGACTCTCTGTGCTTCTATACTTGTCTATTTCTTTCACCAGGTAGGGGAAGTTTTCTGTTATTATTTCTTCAAATAGGTTTTCAATATCTTCCCCTCTCTCTTCTCCTTCTGAGACCCCCATGATGTGAGTGATAGTATGCTTGAAGTTGTCCCAGAGGCTCCTTACACTCTCTTCTCATTTAGTTCTTTTCCTGGAGATTTCTTCTGTTATTTCATTTATGACACGTTTCTTTGTCTCCGCATTTTGGCTGCTTCCCTATGTCTGTTTCTATGTATTAGGTAGAGCTGCTATGTCTCCTGGAACTGGAAGAGTGGCCTTCTGTAGCAGGTGTCCTGTAGGACCCAGTGGCTCATCCTCCCCAGTCACCTGAGATGGGCACTCTATGTGCACACCAGTGTCAGCTTTGTGCAGTTTTATTGTAGTTGAGCCTTGATTGCTGTTGGTGGAATTGACCCCCAGGCCAATTGGAGGAACTGACCCCCAAGCCAATTGTCTGTGAGGACCAGCTGCAACAACAGCAGAAGAGTTGCTATGCAGGAGACACCCCTATGAAGCAGGACTTGCTTCAATGGGGCTTTGATGCTCACTGAGTTTGCCCCTTGAGTGTGTTGCTTGTGGATGTGTAAAGCTGTAATCTGGCATGGTCTGAAGCTGTCCACCGGGTACCTTGGCTCTGGGGCCCTTATGGAGGTGCAAAGTCAGCCACTGCCTGTGCCCTGCCTGGGGCCACCTATCAGGAGCTACAGAGTGGTCTGAAGATGGCTGCTACTTGTGTTGGCCTTAGAAGTGCCCAGGAGAGCCCAGCTGTTAAGCAAGGCAGGCTGCTGCTAGTGCTGGGCCTGGGGCCTCTTATTGAGAGGTATGAGGCATGCTAATGCCAGCTGATGCCTATTTGTGATATTTTAAGAAAGTCTGAAGCCTGAGCCAGGACAGGCTATTCATATGGAATAGCTGCTGCAAACAGCTTGGGTGGGGCTGCAAATTGAGTCAGGGAATCACCATAGTAGAGCAAAACAGTGTGAGCCAGGTTGGTGGAGACTTAGATGTGGTGCCTGCCAGTCAGGGGGAGGTCTCAGCATAGGAACAATGACCCCTGCAAGAACCCCTGTCTGGGAGAAAGCTGTCCCCAAGTTCTTGATCTGATGCCAGACAATCCAGTTCCTCCCATATGTCCCTGGATCCTCCCAAGCCACTGCCTCAAGCACTGGAGCTCATAGGGAGTGAGTCTGAGTAAGTCCATGTGCTGCCCTTTAAAAGAAATTGCCTGGGACTCCAGCAGTCTCCCTATCACTCAGCCATAATCCCTGCTGGTTTTTATAGCTGAAGTTTCAGGGTGCCGGGAGCCGGTCCATCCTTGCTGTTTCAAGGGACCTGGCATATATGGCATACTGTTCTTAATATATTTGCTCACCTTCTTGGCACTATGTGTTTTAACCAAGGTCACCTCTCTGAGAAAGGTTGTTTCCCCAGGTAGGGATTTTCCCCTGAAGTTAGGGAGGGAATAAAACCTCTTAACTAAGTGCCATT